GGGGTGCAGATGGAGCAGAAGTGAGCTCGCTGTCCCTGCCCCACACTGTCCGTCCACGCCAAGACTGGCCCACACCCCGAATGAAACATCCCCTCCATCGTATCCGGGCTGACCACCTTACGGAAGGAGCTCTATTGCCGCCACCATGGGGATGACCGCGCTAGTTTAGCTCACAACGTGGGAGAATCCTGGCCGGGCAAGTTCATGTAGCACCTGATTATCACACCCCTCAGCGGAAAGGCGACCCTTTCTACTCTCCTAAAAGCTCCAGCCTCAGCCTTGGAAACCCACAGGGAAAGTTCTACCCTGTTCTACAGGGTCACAGTGAGTTGGGTTTTTATTATCCCACCCTTGAACCCCAGCTGGATTTTTTTCTGGTCAAGACCTTTCAACCGTTCGTCCGCAGCAGAGGTGAGGGAAGAGTGTTACACTGCCCAGCTCTGGTTCACCTGGTGGTGCGTCATCCGTGGGAGGCAGTACTTCTTACCTCGGGCACCAGGCTGCCTTCCTGAAGAACAGCAAGCCACGCTTGCTCCCCTCCCTCTGTCCCAGTGTTTACGCGCGCGCACGCGCACACACACACACACACACAGCCTATATACGACATAGAAAACTATAATCTGGGGAGGTCAGAGGAGAGATTCCATTCATGGGGCGTTGTAGTTGCACGTTGGCTGGCTGCTAACCACAAGGTCCGCAGTTTGAAACCACCAGCTGCTCTGCAGGAGAAAGATGAGGCTTTCTACTCCCGTAAAAAGTGAGTCTCGGAAACCCAGAGGCAGTTGGACCCTCTCCTACAGGCTCGCTGTGAGTCCGAATTGACTGGATTGGCAGCGAGTTTGGGGTTTATTTTTGATTTAAGAAAAAGAGTGCGCGCCCTGGTGGTGCTGTTGGGTAAGCGCAAACCCACCAGCTGCTCAGAGGGAGAAAGATGGGGCTGGCAGCCCCCATGAAGACTTACAGCCTGTAAAGCAGCAGTTCTCAACCTTGGGGTCGTCTAAGACCATCGGAAAACGCATATTTCCCATGGTCTTAGGAACCGAGACAACGCAGGTCTGCCCACATGCAGATGACACCGGCGTGAAGACGTACCCATGCCACACCATGCTTCAAGACAAAATTTCATTGATTTGTAATTAGAAATAAGTATTTCACAACATAGAATTACATATTGCTTTGTGATTCATCACTATGCTTTAATTATGTTCAATGGATAACAATGAAAATACATCCTGCACATCAGTTATTTATGTGATGATTCATCACAGCAGCAAAATGACAGTGATGAAGTAGCAACGAAAATAAATTTATGGTTGGGGGGGGTCGCCACCACACGAGGAACTGTATTAAAGGGTGGCGGCATTCGGAAGGTTGAGGACCGCTGCTGTAAGGGGCCCCTCTGAGTGGGGGTCAGCCTGATGACGGTGGGCTGGGTCTGTGTATATTGCCCCCTGCCTGGACTAGCACTGCTGGGCCACCGTCTTTCCTCTGCTCTGCCGCAGGAAGCTCTTTTTATAGGCGTCTCCATGGAATCAACCGTGGCACCTTCTGCTTCCTGGGTTTGGGTGGGAAAGGGCCTCAGCCAGGTTGTTCAGGGTGAACTGCAAGTCCTTAGGGAGCGTGCAGGTGACAGGTGCCGAGCTCGGTGATTGTACTCCAACGAGTGGCGGGAACAGCACGTGTTGTGCCAAATGTATCGACTACAGCAATTTTTAGTAGAAAATCAAGGTCGACACAAAGCAGGCCTGCCGGTCAGAGGACAGAGCCTGGAGCTGCTGCCGGTGACTCGGTGCTCAGCCATGTCTGGGCCTGAGGGGAGGTCCCACCCCATGGAGCTGTGAGGCCAGGTGCTGGCTTCCTTGTGGAAATAGGGCGGATGTGCTGCAAGGAAGCTGGGTTGGGTCTCTTGAGGCATCTCGACCTTTATTTTGCCGGTGCGATGAGGAAGGAGAATCTGTATGCAATTGTGGAAACCGGATGGCTGGTTTTATAGGCAGGGTGGAAGCAGTATCCTTTTTGAGGAGCATAAAAACCTAAGGCAGATTTTTCTTTGAATCGCTTCTAACCAGAAGGCTTATTTCGCTGTGGCCACCAGCTGCTGTTGAATCGGCGAGTCACAGAATAAAATGGTCCACTGTTAAGTGTCCTTGCACCTCGGGGACACGTCGCTCAGCACCGTGCCCCACAAGACTCACTGTGACCCAGAACGCCTCTCTTGGAGGATGTTCGCAAATAGGTCACCAGGCGTTTCTTTCTCATGTGCCTGAGTCTGGAAGCTCCACCTGTCCACCGTGGGTGACCCTGCGGGCATTTGAAATACCAACGGCTATAGCTTCTGAAGAGCCCTGACAGTGTAGTGGGTTAGGCTGCTAACCACGAACGATGCCAGCAGTTCGAAACCACCAGCCGTTCTTGAGAGAGAGGAAGCTTCCTGTTCCCATTTCCAAAAAACCTTTCTCTTAAGAGGCCAAGCAAACGTCACTCTATACTGGTAGCTTCTGTTCTTTGTCTTTAAACAAGTATGTAGATAAATGGGTAGATACAGGTGTCTGTACATGTGAGGGGCTTCAACATGTTTGTGGGAAAATTCTATTGGGGAAGTCCGTGTGTGTATGTTAGACGCTTTTGCTTAATTTACAATCTCATGTCAGCAGAGCCCATTGTGTTGATAAAACACCCACCCACCATGTGGACCCGGGACAATAATGCAGGTGTGTGGGGGGGATTAATTGAGTCCTTCTGGTGTTTGGTGCTAACTGAACTGAAGCAGCGCTTGTTCTAAGGTCATATGACACTTTCAGAATGACTATGTCTTTTTTGTAAACATTTAATTGTGGCTGGGTGGAAATGCATAGAATTGGCTTCTTAATGCCAGGTTCCGGCTGTGCAGTTAAGTTTGGGGAACCCGATGTCTTAATGAGAAACACGGTCTTTATCACTCCGCTGGCCTCAAGAGGGCTGGCTCGCACATTTTAGAAATTGTTTGGAGGTCTTTATCCCTTCTTTTTACCTTTTCTTTCTGGCAGTTTGACTAGTCTTTTGTGACTGTTAAATCTATTAACAGTAATTAAAACAACAATTATGGTTTATCTTTGTCTTTTCTATGATCTTTCTAGTACCAAAAAACAAACTATGCCATCCAGTCAATGCTAGCTCTTAGCAACCCTATAAGACAGGGTAGAGCTGCCACTGTGAGTTTCCAAGACTGTTACTGTTTATGGGAGTAGAAAGTCACGTGGCAACTGGTGGTTTGAAACCACTAACCTTGCTGTAGCAGCCCAAGAAGTAACCACTACGCGGCCAGGGCTCCTTCCTGGTGATGTGCAGTTATCCTCCTTTTATTGTCTCCCCTCTTTACAGGTAAGACATTAGGGAAGATAAAAACAAGCTGGCTCTTTACCTCAGAGTTTGAGAAGCACATGCTAGAAAGATGGTCACAAGGCGTGCGCACACACTCACGCGCCTTCTGCCTTCCGGGCTCTTGGGTTCCGACGTGCGTCTTTCTCCGTAGGTCTTCCTTCGAGAGTCCTTGGAGCAGAAACTGGAGAAGCGGCGAGAGGAGGAGGTGACTCGGGCGGCCATGGTGATCCGGGCACACATCGTGGGCTACGTGGTGCGGTAAGATCCACAGTGCACCCTGGGACC